ATGGCTTTGCTTAAAAACAAATAACTCCAGACTCCAGACATGAGCATAGCCAAATATTTACTGAAATATTTACTGAAAGCCAACTAAATGACTGATACAAGTGCTAACTCTTGTGCCTTTGAAGAAGGAAAGATAGGACATGATCTCTAGGACCTCATGGAGTTGGAGAGGCTGACTAATGAATGCATTAGGACACCATGGTCCTACTGGAATCCTGACAGGGGTGTGCTCAAGACAACAGAGAGAATGACAAATAGACTGGGGAAATGTGGCAGGCAGGGGGCATCGCGGACGATGTCATGGAAGAAGCGATGACTTCACCTAGGGCAACAAGGCCAGAGGGCTGGGTTGGGGCTGGGAAAACAGGTCATTCCTGACCAGTGGGACAGCATATTGGAAACACAAGGCTGAGAACCAGTGTGCAGTGCTCAGGGGCCTGCGGCTCTGTGGTGCGGTCAACACCACTCCTTCCAAGTTATTTATGAGTTACAGGTGAGTCCAGAGGAGGACACGGAGAGAGAAGTGAACTTTTAATATAACTGTGAGAAGGCCTGAATTTTAACATGTGTTGGGAAAGATAGCAAAGAGTCCGATGTCTATTGCAGTGATGGAATCCTAGAGACATCATTATAATGAATCATAAATGCCATAGAGACATGAGACACTTCTTGGGAGACAGGGTGAAGGAAATAGTTGTTGTTGTTGTTGTTATGTGCCGTCGAGTCGGCCCCGACTCATAGCGACCCCTCCTTGGGTTTCTGAGGCAGTATCACTACGGAAGTAGGATTGCCCAACCTTCCTTCCGAGGAGTGGCTGGTGGGTTTGAACCGCCAGCCTTCTGGTTAGCAGTCAAGTGCCTTAGCCACTATGCTACCAGAGCTCCTATGTATAAGTATATATATATGTATATATACCTTCCGAGGAGTGGCTGGTGGGTTTGAACCGCCAGCCTTCTGGTTAGCAGTCAAGTGCTTTAGCCACTATGCTACCAGAGCTCCTGAAGTAAGTAATAAGAAATAATATTTATTGAGTGATTGCTAACTGCCATGGGCTTTACATTTTATATACGTTGACTCACTTCTGCTCATCACAGAAAATATCGTGGAAGCTCAGTAAATGTTGGTTGAATGAATGAATGATAGAAACTGAGGTGCCAAATAGTTATTAACTTACCCAAAATCAAACAGCCAGGAAGTGGCTAGAGTGATGGTGTGATAGCTAAGAACACTTTTTGAGAGATGTGGATTTAGAGAGAGGCATAATAAAATTCAGATGGAAGGACTGGAGCATCAGCCTGTTTAGAAGATGCTAAAAATACATTGACTCTTCCATTTATTCATTTGCCTATTCAAAGAATATTTCCTGAACACTTACTACACCCAAGGAGCTCTGGTAGCACAGTGCCTAATGTATTTGACTGCTAACCAGAAGGTTGGCAGTTCAGACCCACCAGCTGCTTTGCAGGAGGAAGATGAGGCAATCTGCTTCCACAAAGTTTTACCACCTTGGAAATCCAATGGGGGTCACTATGAGTTAGAATTGACTTGATGGCATTGTGGATTAGGCACCATTCCAAGCAATGGGAAAATAACAGTGGACAAGACAGAAAGTTTCTCTTTCAAGAAACAAGTGGATACATAGAATAGTTTCTGGGGATGATCAATTCTACAATTATAATAGAAGAGAAGCTATGTCACGAAGGAAGGTCCCAAGGTGGCACAAACAGTTTGCAAGCCATTACTAACCTAAAGGTTCTTGGTTGAAACTTATCCAACAGGGCCTTAGAGGAAAGGCCTGGTATTCTGCTCCTGTAAAGATGACGGTGAAGAAAACCCTATGGAGCAGTTCTACACAGGGTTGCCATGAGTCAAAATCAACTCAACAGTGATGTGTTTTTTAATGTGATGGAGAACAGGGGGTGGAGGACATAGCATCACTAGTTAGAATCCTCAGAACAGCCCTCTTTGAGACGGTCACGTATAAACAGAATTCTGCAGCACTAAGCTGTAGGAGGAGATAATGATCAAAGTGAGAAAAATAAAGATGGGAGGAAGCACTAGGGGTGAGGGCCATGGGTGGAGGTGGAGGAGTGGAATGAAACCTAAAAAGCATCTGGAGATGGCAGCTCTGTACAGAACACTGAGGGTTCACAACCAGGAGAAAGGCCCAGGGTCAGCTATTGGGCAAAGTCTGGCTAAGACCATCACCTGGTAGGTAGTGAAGTGGTTAAAAAAACAAAACAAAACAAAACAAAAACATGTTTTTGTCTAAAACCAGGAGCCCAAATAGGAAAAGATTCTGCCTCACCAGGGGTTTAGGTGACCAGTTGAGGGACAGAAGCAGAAGTTGCTATAGAGAATGGCAGGAGGAGGTCAGGTGTGGGAACTCCATATTACATAGGAATTTTCTCAGATTGAATCTGAAAGTGCCTTATATTGACTCTTAAAATTACAATTTGTTCTGCCACAAAAACTTGTGCACCCACTCTGTGTCTAGCTGGAGCTGAGGAGCCACTGGCGATGAGAGTGGCCTCGAAGAGTATCTACTAAAATGACCCCTGGGGCTGGTGTGGGCCGAGGCAGTGATTCACAAACATGAGGGAATATAGAATCATTTAGACTCTAGATTGTAAAAATGCCTCACTCTCAGAGATTTCTATTCCTTATGTCTAGGGTGGGAATAGAAGTCTGCATTTCTGATGTATGTGGTCCCCAGACAGGCCACACTTTGAGGAAATGTGGAAGATGATTCACTAACAAGATTCAGGGAGTCTATGAACCTACAGAAATAGAAAGAAAATGTATGTGTTTGCTTACTTACACATTTTTCCCCCTGGGAGGTAGGCCCATATCATTATGATACTCTCAAAAACTCTTTAAGAACCACTTACCCAGTTATTCACTTTGTCTAAAAGACGAGGAGACAGAATTCCTGGAGTGTGAGTGACTTGCCTGAGTCCACAAAGTCAGAAGTCAGTAGAGTTGAGCTTCCACTCCAGCCTTCCTCTTTCCAAACCCTCACTCTCTTCCCCTGCCCTGTGGACTATAGGGGCTGGAGGAGAGAAGGAAAGGAATTTAAGCACTTAGGGAGTGCAAAGTCATCAAAGGTGCCCTTCTTCTATTTTGGCCCTCAGGTGGTATAGGTCAGTAGAGTGGTAAGCTAGAATTACGATGCTTGAAAGAACTCAGTTATCCACCTGTATTGCCATCCTGCCAATATTACCTATGGAATCCTGTCTCCTCCATAGGGGACTTAAAACTGAGACAGAGGGCATGTATCCCTTTGGCTGCATGGTGGTGCTGAGAGATACTTTTATGAGGACCTGGATCCTCACCCGTGAGCTGTGAGACTAGTCCAGGTCCCGTTGCCTGCACTCTGTTTTTCCGTCTATGTTTCTTCAGGCCAGTCTAGATCATGGCTCTCACCCTGCCAGTATGCTCAGGCCATGTTTTCTCTCAGGCCCTCCTACCCAGGCCAGATGCCACATCACTAACCCCAGCTGACTTGCTCAAATGTGCTATGTTCTGAGGTGGAAGATCTTTGTGTGCTTACCTGCGGTACCTTCCATTGTGCGCCACTTGTCACTTTAAGGATTTCCAAATGTCCACTCCTGGCCAAGAGGGCCACATGAGGAGAAGTCTCATGGTCATCTAGTTTTGTCCCAATTCTGTCAGACTCTGGTCTCAGCCTCTGGATTCACTTGCCTTCCTCATCTTCCTCTTCTCAACTAACAACTCTCCCATCTTGTCCTTTTGTTACCCTTCTGTACTCTCTATTCTGTCCTAGTGACATGAACCTTTGAGCCCGGGCCCCAGCTGGCCACTCTGTTCTCTTGGTACATCCTGCTATTTGAGGGCTAATCTTATTCAGTGTCTAACCCCTACTTTGGCAAGGTATCCACATTAGAAAGCTTATCTAACACCTACCCATCTTCCCCTTTACTTGGCAACTCTGTGGCAGCTCTTCTTCAGATCCGGTTGGGTAGACCAGCTGTTCACCACCTGTGAACTCTTATGGAATAAACAAACTTAGGTTATTCTTTTCAGTGGATCATGACTCTCCCAGTCATTACCAGTACTCTCATCCTTGTTTCTCTCTGTGCTTTCCAAGCCCCTTTCTCTTCTGTTCTTTTCTTTCTCTTTTTTAATCCTCCTTCAAGCCTTAGGCCTTTCATGGCTTTTCCTGGCATTGGTTTGCCCCACAGAAATACTCAGGAATTAAAAAGTGCCTGAGCCTTTTGTGCTGACTAATGGCATCTTTGCTTTGGTGCCAGGTTTGTTTTGGAGGCAGGTGTGATGTCTGCCTCACCCCAGAGAGGCTGGACAGGAGGATCCATCCTATAGAGTTTGCTGGAGGCAGAGCAAAGAAGGCTGCTCTGTAAGTTTCCCAACACCCCTCTCAAATCCATGGGTGACAGCCTGAACACCTTGCCTTTAACAGACAAGGAAACAAGCACAGAGAGTTTAGGAACCTTGCCCCAGGTTGTGAATTAAATCGGTGCATAGGTGGGAATGAACACAGTTTTCAGATTAGAAGCTGTCATGGAGCAGGACCCCTCAAGGGCAGCCTTGACTAGAGAGGTCACACTCTGGACACTTGGCAGCTACTGGAAAGTTGTATGAGAGTTTCCTATTAATTCTTTATCCTGTGAAGGAGCTACACAGTGAATTTCTTGTTGAGAATTAATCATTTTCTCTGTTGCCTATGACTGAAGCTGTTTCTCACGTCCTGCCTCTGGTTTCGCTTGCCCCAAGGATTTCATTTGAAGGGCGGGACATTCCTCCCCCTCTCCCCCATCGGAGCTTGCAATGGGGACCAATGAAAGCAAAGTACCTCATCCACCCAGTGACTAAGAACTCGAGTATTTAAGAAGTTACAGGAATAGGCTGAGAATTGCTTTTGCTTTCTCATCAGGCGGGTGCACTCTCATCTGATTTGGGACATTGCTGAGCTGAGGACTGAGCGAAGGGGAGAATCCCCGTCGTCTGCCTGCCATCACCATGTGCTACGGCAGATGCGCGCGCTGCATTGGACATTCTCTGTGGGGGCTCGCTGTCCTCTGCATTGTAGCTAATATTTTGCTTTACTTTCCCAATGGGGAAACGAAGTATGCTTCTGAAAACCACCTCAGCCGCTACGTGTGGTTCTTTTCTGGGATCATAGGAGGGGGAATTCTGGTAAGTCATTAAGAATTACTACAATCTTAAAAAGTTCTCTCCTCTTAATTGGATAATGTCATATAAAGTTTTCTGTAATCCAGAGTTCCAAATCCAGAGATTTTTGTTCCTTCTTTTGAAAGCAGATTATATAAAAATTGAGAGAGGTATATTGCATTCATTGTATTAGCTGTTATTATAAAAAAATTCTCTTTCAACTAAAAGTGAATGACTTTTTTGTTAAACTCTCTTACTCTACAGTTAGGAAACAGATCTAGTTTTTTATTTAGATTTGAAAGACTATAGAGTTTCTAGTACTGGTGTGGTGGTTTTCTGTTTGTTTGTTTTGTTTTTCTTCTTTTGCTCTGGAGAGCAGGGAGAAGTTGGCTTGTTCAATCCAAATTCCCTGCTTTTTACTCTCAGATATCTGTGATAAGAAAAACAAAACAAAACCTGTGACTGCACTGATATTTAGAAAGAATATCGTTTTTTTCTTTATATAATTCTGGGGTGTGGTGTCTAGGAAAAATCCAACAGTTAGCAGCAGACTGATGTCTGAAGTTAATGGTGGAATGTGTTGACTTTTCCAACGTTTGTTTTTTTAATTGAATCAAGAGGAATTTGTCTGCCAACCTGTGAGCTGAAAGTATTAGCTTCAACCACAGCATGGAAAGAATGTGGATGGACTTGAGTTTGCTATTTTAAAATGTTGGGATTGAAACATTTAAAGAGAATTTTTATGGAATTGCTAATGCCATGTAAGATTTTTTTTCACAGTCTTGTAAAGAATATTAAAATATTTAAACCTAATATCCAAATTAAGATTTGGCAAACCTGCTTTGAATTTAAGCATTATCATCATATTAATATGATCATGTGTCCTAAACATAACATCACACTTGTTTAAGTGTCTTTTGATCATAAACTCAAAGTATTTCATACTTACATTATTTTAAAGACTTATACCATGAAACTAGTGCCTAAGACATTTGACTGCTAACCAGAAGGCTGATGGTTCAAACCCACCAACCACTCCTTGGAAGGAAGACTGGACAATCTACTTCCATAGTGATACTGCCTGGGAAACCCAAGGAGGGGTCTCTATGACTCGGGTTTGGCTTGACGGCAGTGAGTTTGGTTTTGTTTTGGTGTCTTAACATAAGGCATTCACCTTTATTTATTATGGGGAGCTTTCATCTCTCTTCTGTTTACAAAAAAAAAAGTTTTTATTATATAGATTTGTTGGTATCTTCTATGTTGTACAAGAAACAAAATCAGATTTGAAGAGACAGGGTTTAATATCTCTACGATAGAGTTTGCATCTGGGACCATGTTATGGACACTTATGGAATAAACAAATGTTTATTCCGCTCCCATTCTACACCCTCACCCTAAAGAATGCTTTGAACGCAAGTGGATATTCCATTTTAAGCTTTTTATCCTCAGAGCTTTACATTCTTTGAGATACTTGGTTAATCTGATGCAATGCTAGTCAACACTGTAGAAAGAAATATATTTACTGAAAGATGATGCTTAACCTGGCCTGGATGGACTTGGGAAAAGAAAATGACTGTACTTTACTTCTTTTCTGACCAGATGTTTCTGCCAGCATTTGTCTTCACTGGACTGGAGCAGGAAGACTGTTGTGGTTGCTGTGGCAACCGCAGCTGTGGCAAGAGATGTGCGGTAGGTCCTCTCACCCTGATGGTGAAAATGGTTCCTGTGATGCACCCATGATGCTCTGTGGATCATTGCCTATGTTTCTGCTTTTCCTAGATGCTTTCCTCTGTATTGGCTGCCCTCATTGGAATCGCAGGATCTGGCTACTGTGTCATTGTAGCAGCCCTGGGGTTATCAGAAGGACCAATGTGTCCTAATTACCTTGGCCAATGGAAGTACACCTTTGCCAACACTGAGGGACAGTAAGTAATTATTCAGCCATGGGGCCGTACATTCCTATCCGCCACATGTGTATAGCAGAAACCTCATCAAATCAAAAAGGCATCCAATCATATATTCACTTAGCTAGTGTTTACTAGCATTGACTCATGCCAGCCACAGCATAAGGAATGGGTGCCCACAGATGCACGTACAGATCCTGACATGGAACAGTTCCATGACAGGCACAACTTTAATGGATTCATTGATCCAGTCCATATGATAACCCAAACAGGTGACTTCCACTGTGATTCCTATGTTACAGATGAGAAAGTGGAAGCACAGAAAGATGAAGTAACTTATTCAAGGTCACATTGCTAGGAAGTGGCAGTCAGGATTTGGACACAGGTGGTCTGGCTATAGAGTTTGTGCTCATAACCACTACACTATGCCTGAACAATAGGTTACCTGAAACTAATATATTTTAGTACTTTATAAGAAAATATTATGGAAAGCTGACATACTATGGCTGGCAACTCTATTAAGTTAACTATACCTCCAGGGAAATCATTTCTCCACATACACACTGACATTCAACATCATAACTATGTACAGTACACTCCCGATTTAAAGTGATCAGGTTATATAAGAGAGGTCTTATTCATGACTTCAATATCAGGATAATTTTAAAAGATTCCTCTCTTGTTTGCTGATACTTATTTCTTACTAGTTATTAAGAAAAGAGCAGAAATAAGGCCTGATAGAAACCAGTGCACATGGTATTAAATGAGTAGCATCCTTCATTGGACAGGAGTTGATCCTGAGTTTATCTTTTCCTTATTCAGCTTTTTAAAATTAAATTCTGAAAGTTTTAGTTCTGAAATTTGTAAGTAAAGATAATATAAATTTAAATTGCCCTTCTTATTATCAAGAGTTTTGTCACTCATAAATGGTATAGCAGAGAGTGAGGTCGTAAGTTCATGAACTTCGGAAGTAGAGCAATCTGATCTCAAGTGGCAGCTCTGCACTGACTCTCTGGGTAACGAGGAGGAAGTGAACTGAGCTCTCTGCATCTCAGTTACCTTGTTTGTTAAGTAAAACTAATGGCAGTTGTCATGAGCATTAATGAGAATATATATATATATGCAAAATGCTCACTACAGAGGCTGACTCATTATGAGCACTGATATGGTTCAATCTGTTAATACTATCTTCTAATTTATAACAAATACAAACCAATAGTAATCTCTGAAGGAAAAATAGGCACTTAAAGGAGTTGGAAATTTGGTGTTCAAAATTGTTATCGATTCTGATCTATCCTCATTCAGAACATACTAAATGTACTAGTAGAAAATAGTGGCTCATGCACGTATGCACAGCATACAAAATTACTGAACAAGCCCACTTCTGAAAATGTCTGATTAACACAGCTGGAATCCAGAGAGAGGGTTCTTTTATCATTGATTGTAGTGCCCTCCCATGATCCATTCCAGCTTCTGCAAAACAAAACAAAACAAAAAAAAAACAAACACTCCCCTTTTTATATCATTCTGACCAGGGAACTCAGCATGAGAAATGACTAAACAGTCATAAACCACCAATTAGTCACCCAATAGCCAAATGCAATCAAAGAATTTGTGATATTATAACCTCAAAATACAGATTTTTATTTCACTGACATGATGAAGGACAAATAGAATTTCTGATTGGCTCAATGAGCCATTCCAAAATTAGATCTCAAATTCCAAAACTCTTTCTTCTTGTTGTAGTAGGAATAAGTGATAAGGAAAGACATATATCAGTCTTCTTTGTGGAATTAAGTCAATCTTTTATTTTCCCACCTGATTGAATCCTATTTTGTTAAGAATCCAAGGACTCTATGATGTAGCAAAGGCTGAAATTCTAGGAGAGTAATCAGAGATGTACTTGTTCAGACTTTTCAAGAGAATATCTGGGTATCTAGAAAATCTTCTAAGTTATACTTGCATATATATGTTTTATGCTTACATGTATGTGTGTGAAATGAGAGAGAGAGAGAAAGCAAGCACCCTGGTGGCATAATTGTTAAGCCGCCCACCATCTGCTTTGCAGGAGAAAGATGAGTCAGTCTGCTTCCATAAGATTTACAGCCTTAGAAACCCTAGAGGCCTGTTCTCCTCTGTCATATAGAGCTGCTATGAGTCAGAACTCACTCTACAGCAATGGGTTTTCTGTATAATCAGGCATGACCTCAGGATGTTTTTCTAAGATTTAGCAAGGTGATTTCAGATTATTATTATTTATCATAATAAATACTTTTGAGTACTTCCCATGTGCCAGATACTCAGATACTTTTCTAGGGGCTGGATATACAACGATGAACAGGCCAGGTTCTTACCTTCATGGAGTTCAGATTTATGGTATCAAGAGCTACATAAGCAGATATTTTCCCTGGACTAAGTTAGGTGCCCTTCCTCTGTAGGCCCCTTTCCTACAATACTTACACTATCAGAGTACAGTACCAGTTGTATTGAGATAGCCTATTGTGTGTCTGTTCCTTAGATCCTAAGCTTTTCTAGAAGAACTTGTGCCTTGTTCATCATTATATCCCCAGCCCTAGTTCAATGTCTAACTTACACTGAGTACTTGATAATCTTTATTGAATGAGTAATTGCAACATGAAACATGCTACTATAGATGCATGGGTATGGCATCGTGAAAGTAAAGAAAATCCACTACCATCGAGCTGATTTCAACTCATACCAATACCATAGGACAGAGTAGAACTACCCCATAGGTCTTCTAAAGCTGTAAACCTTTATGGAAGCAGATTGTCTCATCTTTCTCCCATGGAGCAGCTGGTAGGTTTAACCTCCAACATTTTGGTTTGTGGTCAAATGCTTTAACCACTGCACCGCTCCTCCTCAGAAGATGTATCAAATTAGTTTGATTTAATCTCTGTGCTTCATTTTGCAAATTAATTACACCTTAAAAGCAAAAAGATTTCAACTGAAAACCTCTTGCATATTAAATCTCTAAGCTTGCTGGAATTCAAATAATTTTCAGATGAAATTGAGTTTTAATGAAATGATCTAAATTAGTATTTCTAAATTCATACAAGTTAATACAAGGAAGTTATATTTTCTAAATAAATATTCACTCAACTTTGGTTACAAAGTTCTGTCTGTCACACAGATAACACATTTAAGCAAAATAAAATTGAGAAGAGGGGTAAAACAATCATCTATTGCTTCATTACCTTAGCACACCAATTATTTTAATTTTTCCAAGTCTGCTTTTATTTCACATCTACATATATACATGACATTTACGTAGTTGAAACAAAGTTAAAATACAATTTTGCATTTTGTTGTTTAACAGTAATCCATGTGTCTTTTAGGGAATATAAATGCCTTTATAAGGAATGGATTTCTAACCATCACCATTTGACTTGGAATCAAAAATTAGATTTTAATTTTATGGTTGTCACTGGGACAAGATCTGAGCTAAGCTCTCTATTTTGTAGAATGATTTGTTTTGGAAGAATTTGATGTACGCTATTGAAATAATTCATTTCTGTGTTTTTTGTATAAATACCACACAAAAAGTAGCTTATGAGACAGCCCACTGGCTATGGCCACATGTTAGAAATTCTTTTATCCACAGGTACCTTCTGGATAGTTCCACGTGGTCCCAGTGCACTGAACCCAAGCACATTGTGGTATGGCATGTTACTCTGTTTTCTATCCTCTTGGCTCTCGGTGCGATTGAATTCATCCTGTGTCTCATTCAAGTAATAAATGGAGTGCTTGGAGGCATATGTGGCTATTGCTCTCACCATCAGGTAAGAGCCCTGGTGTATCCAGTTACTGTAATGTACCATTGCTTTCACTATAGAGAAAAAAAGCAGAATAAAACACTGCTCTTCTTAGATATCTAGTGCTATTAAAACAGAAACACCACAAATGGGTGGCTTTAAAAAGCAGAGATTTATTTTGTCAAAGTTTAGGAAGCTAGAAGTCTGAATTCAGGGTGATGAAGATGTGGTGAAACCCATATGAAATTGTTCACTACAGATTAGTAAATAAGCACAAGTAAGCCTGTGTTTATGTCACTTATTAGGTAATCTGCCCCTGACATTAGCTCAAGGCTTGAAAATAATACTCTGTTCTCTGAGTCTATCTAGGTAATGGTCCTACCCTTCAGACTCTGGGTGTTGGCCATGCTCTCTGGATTCTGGGTAGAGGCCCTTCAGTCCTTGGCTTTAGCTCTGCCTTCCAGGCCCACTGGGATAGCAACTCTGCTCCCTTGGCATTGGGAAGCCCCATTTTCCTAGTCCATCTGAGTGGCAACACCACCCCCTCGACTCCAGCAGGCCCCATTCTCTGCCCCTTGGGCATAGCAACTTTCCCCTCAGTTTTGGGTAGCAGCTCTATTCTCTTGGCGGAACTGAATGGCAGCCCCAGACTTCTGAACCAAGTTGATGAAGATCTGACTCTTTGAAAGCTAGGAGGTCATAGCTCTACCCTTTGACACCCCAGAGGCTGTGGCCCCACCATTTGAGACTCCAAAGGCCATGTCCCCACCCTTTGAAACTGGGGCAGCTCTACTTCCTATGCTCCTTCCAACAGTTCTGCTGATCTCCAAGATGCTCCAGGGAAGGTATTTTTCTTTTCTTGGAGGGAAATAGGTGTCGTTCCTTTGGTGTTTTTCCTGCCAATCAGAATTCCAAGAGGCAGGCAGCATTTTCTCCTTTATTTCTTTCTCTATGTTCTTCAGTTTAAAGCTGATGGGCTTTCTGTTGTGGTAGTTGGTTAGATCCATCAGTCACAGGGTTAATCTCTTTAACAAATGATTATGTAGCTACCTCTTTGATGAACATCTAGGACATTTGTCTTTAGTTTGTACAACAGAATTTTTTAAACCTCTAAGATTTGTTTTCATTTTGCACAGTTCATGTTTAAGTCCTTCTCTTTCTTCTTGCATTTTACTATAAGCGGCAAGAAGAAACCATGTGGCTACTTTAAGATCTTGCTTAGAAATCTCATCAGCTAAATATCCAAGTTCATCACTTACACGTTCTATCTACCACCATACATTTGAACATAGTTTAGACAACTTATTTACCACTATACCTTTCTTCCATTGTATAATCACATGCTCATGATTTTCTTTTAAAGCCTCACCAGAAGCACGTTTAACAGCTACATTTCTATCAAAGTTCTGTTGCTGGCACCATATGTTTTCTCTAAGATGATCGAGATTTTCTTTATGGCTCTCCTCACTTCCTTGTGAGCCCTCATTAGAATTGTCCATAATTCTACCATCTATCTCTTCAAAGCAATCTAGCCTTTTACTATTCAAAAGAAAACAAACTCACTGCTGTCAAGTCAGTTCTTCCAGCCTTTACTCATTACACAATTCCAAAACCACTTCCACATTTTAGATACCTGTTAGAGTAGCACCCTACTCCCAGTACCAAATTATGTCTTAGTTACATAATGCAGTTGTAATAGAAATACTACAAATGGTTGGCTTTAAGAAACAGAAATTTATTTTCTCATAGTTTAGGAGGCCAGAAGTCCAATTTCAGGGTGCTGGCCCTAGGAAACTCTTTCTCTCTCTCTCAATTCTGGAGGAAAGTCCTTATCTCTTTGAGCTTCTGCTCCTGGGCAATCTTCATGTGGTGTGGTATCTTTCTTCCCCCATCTCTACTCTACTTGCTTGTTTAATCTCTTTTATATCTCAAAAGAGATTGACTCAAAATACACCCTACACTAATCCTACCTCATTAACATAACAAAGACAACCCATTCCCAAATGAAATTATAACCGCAAGCATAGAGGTTAGGATTTACAACACAAATTTTTTGGGGGACACAATTCAATCCATGATATTGCTCAACCTACCAGAATTTATTTCTACGTAGTCTTCATGGCCAAGCATGTATAACATTCTGTTTTACTCTCAGTAATAAATTTCCTTGGGTCTTATGGGCACTGAATTGATTTAGTTCTTCATAGTTGGCTCTATGTCATAGAAGCACATCACCCATAGACACACTGTCCTCTTTAGGATCTAATTCACCACCCATCTCACTACCCCTGCTCTGGCTGCACAGACACAAAGATGTTCTTTCTTTGCTTGCTCTCACACTTCCAAGTAGTATTTACAAATAATAGCCAACTAATTGCACAACTCGAAGCCCTAAAAACATGTAGTGAATTAGCTCCTTTAATCATCAGCAGAACTCTAAAAAGCAAATATTAGTATCATTGAAGCCATTTTCCAGATGAGACTATGGCTCAGATTAAGCAACATGTCTAAGATCACCTAATTGGGAAAGCTTCAACCCCTGGGCCATTTTATGCCAATCTTGCTCTTAAATGGTATGTGACACTTAGTTTCATTGGACTTTCTACAATTCCTGCCTAATAAGGTGCCACAGAAATGCCTAAATATCTAAGCAGGAAGAATAACCAGTAGTCTTTGAATAATAGCTCATGAAATGCGTTTTACTGTGAAAGAAAGCCAGGAAGCACTTGTTTCCTGGGGATATGACTGAGGAGAGAAGTATGCATTTGTTAGTAGCAGGGAAAGTCCTTGTTTCTATATCCTCTTAAGGGAACATATAATATTGAATTAGTAGAAGTGCAGCTTTAGTGTAAATTTTTTTGTTGTTGTTTTATGTCTGATTCTATGAAAGAGGTTTAGGAAAAAGAAAGTGATTTACATTTTTCTAACCATTTATTCCCTGCTTCAAAGTCTCTTCTTTAATTTTCTTTTAAAATAAGACAAAACTGAAGGAAAACTAAAAGCCTTTTGCCACCATGAAAAACTTTACTGTAAATACATTAACATAATGTATAATGTCTATAATTTCTGAGTGAAAAGAACAAAAGAAAAAAAGTTTTCCTTTTCAGTCAAGTACAAAAAACCAAAGCAAACTCACTGCTGTCGAGTCGCACCCAACTCATAGTGACCCTTCCTTGGGTTTCTGAAGTAGATTGCCCAAACTTCCTTCTGAGGAGTATCTAGTGGGTTTGAACCACCAGCCTTCTGGTTAGCAGTCAAATGTTTTAGGCACTATGCCACCAGAGCTCCTCAGGCAAGTACAGCAAGATTAATAATTTCTTTGGAACCCTGCCAAATTTTCAAGATGACAACACAGTGGGAAACCTTTGATAGAGTGTTTTTCTTGGGATTATGGTTGAGAAGGTGTCCCTGGATGGTGCAAAGTTTATCTCATTCAGGTGCTAAGCAAAAGTTTGGAGATTGGAGTCCACCTAGGGGTATGAAGGAAGAAAGGCCTGGTGATTTACTTCCAAAAAGATCAGCCATAGAAAACCCAGCCCAGGGAGCACAACTCTACTCTGACGCACATGGGGTCACCATGAGTCAGACTTGACTTGAAGGCAACCAGTTTGTTGTTCTGGGGAGCAGCAAAGGAGAAATTTGTCTTGGAAGAAGTACAACGAGAACACTCTTTAGAAGCAAAAATGGTCAGACATCATTTCTCATACTTTGATCATTTTATCAGGAGGGACCAGTCCCTGGAGAAGGATATCATGCTTGATATCTAAAGTAGAGGGGCAGCAAAAAAGGACAAGACCCTCAACAAGATGGATTGACACAGTGGCTGAGACAGTGGGCTCTAGCATAGCAATGGTTATGAGGATGGCACAGGACTGGGCAATGTTTCATTCTGTTGTACATAGGATCGCTATGAGTTGAAACTGACACGATGGCACTTAACCACAACAACAGAGAAGAATCCTCTTGGAATTACTCTAATGTAAAATATATTTGAATTTCAGACAAGGCAAAATTTTCACTACAGGGGGCCCCACTGGACTTCAGCACTAGTGCATTTTGGGAACAGGCCTAAAAGGTCAATAACCAAAATTGCTGAAGTGATTTGGCAAGGAATGATACTTGCTTCTGAATGAGGAGCATATGGTCCCTCTGGGTTTCCTATCTGAGTCATTGTGTGGATAGCTTCTTCCCAGATGCTCCAGTGCAGATCTATTATTACCTTTGTTTATAAGACAAAAGCCAGATCTATTACCTTTGTTTGTAAGACAAAAGACATCTTCAAAGGGAAGAGATTTTCTTGTAGAAAAGTTAAGTCCATCATTTGGTAGTGTTTAATTTGAAAGGTTACTTGTAAGACAAAAGACATCTTCAAAGGGAAGAGATTTTCTTATAGAAAAGTTAAGTCCATCATTTGGTAGTGTTTAATTTGAAAGGTTACTTATCCATTGTGAGCCCACTCCTGTGCAAAGAGTTCAGTAGCATTATCTTCCAAATCCCATGGATTACAAACCCATAACAAACTCACTTCAAAACCCGCCCAGTGTGGGTAACTGTAGTTTCCATGGGCCCTTTTTTGCAGCTTTTACTCAGGCAGGACAAGAGGTCTGGTTTGTTTAGGAAACATTTTATAAGCATCACCTAATCCTCAAGTGTTGTTGACCAAAACTTTGCTCAAGTTGAGATCATGCTACTTTGTATTTGCTTAAAACAGGAATTTAAAGGACTGAAATGTCATCTTTGTTTATCCTGATGGTAATTTAATAAGTATTTTTTTATTCTCTTTTACAGCAATATAACTGCTAAAAGAACTGCCTCAAAACAGTGCCACTACCTTCCCTTATTTCATTGTAATTTATATATTTTACTTGTATGAATTTGTAAAATTTTGTATTAGTGTATCATACTTCACATACTCTACTTTTATAAATGTGTATAAAGACTGACATCTTCATGTTATATCAGTGTTTGAACTTAGCAAACAGACCTTTTTTCCCTAAGGAATGAAAAAACTAACCGCACTCTGGAGGGAGTCCATGCCAGACCAAGTGAGGGTTCTTTGCAAATCTGAGATAAACTCAGGCCTGAAGTCATGTTTCTGAGAAAAAGCACAAGGCTAAAAATCACATTCCAATTATGTATATATGTGTGTGTATTTTTTAAATGCAAGATTTCTAGTTGCTTTTTTAATAAGAATTTTCTTTTTCTGAAAAGATGTTTTTTCACTGTTTATATGGTGTTTTCCATTTGAATGTTTGCAAACCTCTAATGCAGAGGTCTTTGGAACTAGTGGGTGTTCTGTGAGGGACAGATTATTGTAAAGAGTGGGAGGACTGTCATTGAAAAAGCTCCAAACCAAGTAAATGAGTCAAAAAGTGTAGTACTGCTAGTTGCTGCAAATATTATCAGATCCTAATTATTTTCCTCACATGTGGAAAGCTTTTTGTTCTTTAAAGATGAGTTCTGAGGATCACATATTTAAGAAGAGAAAGACAAGGCCTTGATAATGACAAGGAAGAAGGAAGATGGGAAATGGAACAAAGCAGTTGATTAGCATCATGGGAAATATAGGCAGAAAAGGGGTAAGACTGGGAGGGAAGGGAAGGACCATGGAAGAAATATCCTGAACATCTTGCTTGTTTAAATACCAAAAAATAAAAATAAAATATAGTATTCACTACAACTTTTTGTTTAGTTTCCTTGCCCTTAAAATTCCTCCTTTCTCTATTTTATTTTGTTTTCATTCTTTAGGTTGTCTTGCCCATATTGTTAGAAGTAGGGATAAGATTATACCCATGTCTTCTGGTTTCTTTATCTCATAACTTTCCCTCCCTCATCCTTTCCCCCCTTTTCTTCCTTCCTCTGCTACTCATGAATTGTCACTACTATGCCAGTTGGGTACATTTCCTTATGGCTGGTGCTCCAACACATCTGGTTCCCGGTAGTTTTCTCTCCTGATAGTTTATGTCTCTTGTACAACTAGGCTTTTTCAAGTAACAGGATTCCCTTACCTATTGGGAATTATCTACAAAAATGTTTTGCTTTTGGTGTTCATTGGCCCAGGCAACAGACAAGCAAGTTAATAAAGAGGCCAGTGCAAATGGGTAACGTGCTTAACTGCTAACTGAAACACAGTTCGAGTTCACTAAGAGACACCTCAGAGAAAAAGTGTGGTGATCTACCTCAAAAAAAAAAAAAAAAAAAAAATCCTAAACTCACTGCCATCGAGTTGATTCCAACTCACAGCAGCCCCTTTGGGTTTCCAAGGTGGTAAATCTTTATGGAACTAGATTGCCCAGTCTCCCTAAGTAAAGTGGCTGGTGGGTTTAAACTGCCAACCTTCTGGTTAGCAGTCAAATGCCTTAGGCATTACGTCACCATCTACTTCCAAAAAAAACCAACGTTTGAAAACCCTGTGGAGCATGGTCATGCTCTGATATATGTGGGGTCTCCATGAGTTGGATTCAATTCCACAGGAAATAATGGCTGTTAAACAGCAAATGTGTTACCATGTGCAAGATGCCTTAGTGTGGTTTCCTGACAAAAGAGTTCTAACCTTTTCTGTGCAATGGTCCACTGACAGGCAGTCCACTGACACCTATGAAGGACACCTTCTCAGGATAATGTTTACATATGCATAAAGTATATAGGATTACAATGTTAACCAGTATATGGAATTATTTCATCAAAGTGTACTTTTAAATCAACATAGTTGTCTGGATAATTAGTCAACCTCATCACACAAAAATGTATAGAGAGGTAGAAAACAATTCTGTGAGATGTGAGATCTAGTAGCAGGTCAAAGAACCACTATGCTTTTGAAATACTATTTTAATTGAAATATCTTAAGATACATGCAAAACTTTAATGGATTTGAAAATATATGTAGTTATTATTATTATTCAAGATCACAGGTATTATTGATACTACTGTGGTTTGTTGTGTCTAACTGCATTTAAAGGAAATATAACACTTTAGTTAGAGGTTAGTAAAAATAATGATATGTTTTTTTCCCATTCAGGTTTAAATCCTTTCTCTTCCTAGAAACCTATCCATGGAATTCTTGGGAGTTTTGGGATCTCAGGTTAATAAACACCGAAGTAGAGTGTCCAAAAGGATTTTAAAAAAATGACATAAAGATATTAGTCATGTTGTTTTAGGTGCCGTGGAGTTGGCTCCGACTCACAACAACCCTATGCACAACAGAATGAAACACTACTCAGTCCTGTGCCAGCCTCACAATCCTTACTATACCTGAACCTGTCGTTGCAGCCACTGTGTCAACCCTCTTCATACAGGACCTTTCCATTTTTTGCTGACCCTCCACTTTATCAAGCATGATATCCTTCTCCCGGATGGAGATGGTCCCTTCTGATAATATGACCAAAGTAGGTGAGATGAAGCTGGCCATACTCACTTCCCAGGATTATTCCAGCTGCACTTCGTCCAGAACAGATTTGTTAGTTCTGCCAGTCCATGGTACTTGCACTATTAGTCAGCAACGCCATACTGGAAATCATCAACTCTTCTTTAGTCTTCCTTATTCATTGTCCAGCTTTCTCATGCATATGAGGCTTTGGAAAATACCATGGCTTAATTTAGGTACATCCTAGTCTTAGTG